CTTCAGCTTTCTCTAACAATCTTATGCGTGTTACATGAGCTATATGTTTGATTTGGCCATGTATTGTTTTAACTTTTTACGGTGTTCATATACTCCATAATAGATTATTTGAAAAAATAAAAGAAATGATCGAAGGTTTTGATATTGCTCTTCTTTCTCGGAACAAATTTAATTGAATGATCTGACATTAATAATATACTTATATGTATACTTCCCTCAAATCATTTTTAGGAACAATATTTCCATAGTTCATAAACATTAATATGACATGAACCATTTCATTATAAGATCAGAAATGTGAAAAGTATTTTTTTTTGGTTACTTTAAAATAGGATACATGACTTTGAATTCACGATTGTAGGAGTACATGCATGGTTTGTTAGCATGACTAACTTGAATTGGATTATATATTGGAATCTACATGTTTAACAAAGAAAAGTGCTTCCAGGCTTACCTATGTTAGGTATTCAAAATAACATGTTACTTTCTAAATTTAAAAATTAAATACATTGATCGCATTTGGTGTTAAAATTGGTAGCAATATAATGCACCTCATATCAGTACGATAATCACTTTCAAATTTACATACGATATCACAGTTTTTTGCTTTTGCACAAATACTAGCTCCTCGTAAGGTTGTAAATGCTTTGGTTTGCTCTTAGATAAAACTTGACAACAATTTAGGAATTTCAACAACAAAAAAGTGACAACTAAATTGGGATGCAAGGATTAGGTACACCTATATAATTAACAAGTTGGTTTATTTTATGAGCTCCAATCTTCTGGTTAGTATACACAGGAAAATGATCTTCTTGGTGTTTCTAATTAATTATATATTAATCTGATTTATTTAAACAATTGGCATCTTTCTATTTAGAGAAACATAATATTAATCAGATCGATGACCTTATCGATAAACCAAAGGTCGAACCATGTATGTCAGGCATCTCATATGTAGTGATTTGATTTCAATAGTTCAATGTACTTCAATATGAAGTGCTCAATTTATAATAGTACGTAAATAATTAATGAAACTATTTAACCACTCGTAATGAAAAACTATATAGTATATACTAGGTGTGTTTAATTAAGGAACTCTTATCCTTAAGTCCTTAACATTCACTCCCATTTTGGTCAAACTTGTTTGTGATCACCTTCAATATAAATATTCTTCGTTGTTAACTATATTGTTACTTTTATACATTAGTACGGAATAACAAGGTTGTAATAACATGTAAGATCTTTTATTTTTGGACAGAGGTTATAAGACCTTAGATATCATAGATATTGATACTACGTAATTAGGTATAATTAGTTAAGTAGACAGAGAATATGAAATAGACAGATTGAGGATAATATGTATAGGCATGTGAGATACAAAAGATCGACGTGTATAGCAAGCAAAGCCAGCTATACACTTCTCTCTCCTAGCAAGCTACAACTCATCCCCCATCTCCCCAGCTCACCATAACTTACTGCAGCCTTACTATTACTATATACGCCACAAAAGTGCAACAAAACCTACAATTCCATAACCCTTTTTCCCAAAATAATATGCTACATTTAATTAAACAATACGTATCAAAATTAAATTCCTCCATGTTATTGTTACGTGATCTATTTCTATTTTCTTAATGTATAAAATTATTCTCCAAATTTTGTTTCATATACCTTTTCAACTTGTAAAATAGATTATCATTTAATCTTTAATAATTATTTCATTACCTTTTTGAGATTCATTACACACCATGACACCAATGTATGGTGCATCACTACACGTACATTTTACCTTATATAGTAATAAGGTAATTATAAATTAAAAAAGAGTTAACTTGTTATAGTTGAAATTAAAGTTGTTTAAAGAGGAATCTTTTCTTAACCTAAGCTAATTCATTATTTCCTTTATTTACGCAAGTATTACTATAGATTCGATCAGTTTAATTATAGAACTTGAATCATACCATGCACAACTAATAATTCGGAGCAAATTTAAGTGTATGTGATTCCATAAAAGCAAAGAAGGTGATTTTAAATATCGAGATAAGTTTGTAAGATTCAAATCTCGACCCCTTGATGTATACTTCAATCTGGCTCGATCATAATGCATAGATTAATTAGATGGAGCAACTTAAAAAAGGTAAAGTTAATTTTTTTTTAATAGAAGTAAAGTTAAAATAGAATAGTAGTAACTAGCTTAATTACTACAACGGACCTCCATTTCCCAAAGTTATTCACAATTATTGTTTCATTCGATGCAAAAAAGCAAGACAATTTGAGAGAAAGTGTTAACGTGGTTATTGTGTTGTACCATTTCCTAACAACACATGTATGTGCTCCACACTAATAACAAAATGAAGAAAAATAACATTTCGATCATAAGACTAAGACTAAGGAAATGTGTACTCCTCTTATTGTCATATAATCTGATTTTGGGAGGAAACTTCCTTAATTGGACTTAGATTGTGAACCACCTAGATTCTTATGTGTTTGACATGTTATCAGAGTCAGGTCTGTGACTGAAATCTATGATGGCTTAAGTACATCGGGTCATATTAAATAAGTCAATGTGACCAAGTGAGGGGGAGTGTGAACATGCGCTCTATGCCTCTATCTCCTACCCAAAAAATAATGCGGAGTACCACCGAGGCAATTTAAAACTTAGGAATTGTTTTTAGCTTTAAAAGATAAAACTAATTTAACCTTAATGACAAGAAATAAAAAAGAATAGTGGTAAGGCTATAACAGTAATATTGTGTCAATTGCAATTAATAAAAAACTAGGATGTGTAAGAAAATAAATTTTTGTTAAATAGCTTAAATTTGTTTCAAAATAAATATAGTTATAAGAAATTAATTTTTCATAAATTTTTATTATACATAATTTTATTTTTTTTGCACAAATTTTTGCATAAATAATTGTAAAAATAAAATCAATTAAACTATACATTAAAGTACATTTATTTTAATTTTATTTTTTGTGAGAAGGGTTACTTAAAAAAAATTAAAAAATAAGGAACAAAAATTGGATTATATAGTTTGAAAATTGAAAGAGTACATTTTTTTTTTATCAAACTTTCTTTAGATCCTTATCTACCGACTTCAACTCCACAAATGAAAGAGAATTATATAGCTCAACAAATGAATGAGCGAGGAAATAAAAGCCGCAATAATACACACCCTTTTTTTTTTTTGGTTGTATGTGTTTCAAACATAATCTTGCATATTCAAAGGGAATCTAGTCAAAATTTGACCATCCCTTTTCAAAAAATAAAATAAAATAATATAATAAATAAATGAAAAAAAATTAGAGTCAAAATATGGGCTTTCGAAGGAATCAATAAGATCCATAAAGTTTAGCGAATATATAGATTCCCATTCCCTTCAATGCACTCCACATTCTTACAACCGTGTTTTAGTGCTATACACTTCAAAAAGGCTAACTTGCCTTGAGGTGAAGATAATACTACTAATAACAAAACATGTAATATCATCGTACTCGTACCCTCTAGTTAATCAAGTTTTATTAGGAGATGATGATAAAATTCAAAAACTAATAATGGTCTCTCATGTCATGGCATATATGAATAAATGGTAATTATGAGGCGAAAATAATTCTACATACAATTAACAAAACCACAAAATTTGTGGTTCCAAAGTTCCAATGCCAAAGCAAATCGCTTATAACACTATCATATATTCCAAATCCACTAGAATGTTGATACGTATGCACGGGGATACTTTTGACCATCTTTGAGAACCAAGAAAGCATCCTCTTTTATTTATCATTGCATATTAACCTGTGTGAGATATTAGTACATGATTAATCTATAATGACAAAGCCCATTCGAATATATGAGGCATATTCGAGACCAAAAGTTGTATAATGAGATCACCAACCAGCTCAGGTAGCATATTGCCACAAAAAAGAGCTAGAACTCGCGGTCAAATATTGACACCATACTCTTAAGCACAATGAAACTAAACCTAAATAACAATACCTTATATTGGCGTGTAATGCTCCCTTCTCTTAGCTTATTGATTGTATAAGCCAAAAGGGACCATAATTAGTGGCATATAATCTCTTAAGAAGCCTTGATTAGAGCTTGTAAAAGTGGGGACAAGTTAAAAGCTAAGGTATCATTAGAAATTATAGAGAATATTGTCAATAGAATGGAAGTCACAAAGCCATATATACGTGCATGTTAAAGCTATGGAACCATAGCATGGACCATATATTCATTTCTCTTTGACTTTGGGTATCTTTCAAAGTTTAAAAAATTATCTCTTGAGGCCCACCTCAGTCAAATGGCATACTATAGGCTGACATTCTCTAAGCATTATAGTCTGATTCATGAATGACTCTAATAACATTCGTTGGTACAAACATTTTAATACCAACACAGTAATATGAATATTGATACTAAAGATATTTTGCCATTATAGGTATTAATAAAGAAGTATTTTGGTATCAAGCTAATATTATATTTTAATACCAATGAGTATTATCAGAGTTATTAATGATTCAAGTTATTAGAAGTAGAGAATTACTCGACATTTCTCATGCTGATAGCTCCCTCCCTCTCTTTTACCATGACTTACAAATGGTAGGACATATTGTAACTGATATACGGCAAATTAAAACCAATGAAAAAGAGATACGCTGACATAATATGGTAGTAGTAGATTATAGATTCTTTTGTTTCTTAATTGATAGTAACTTGAAATATGAAATAATAATAACCTCGGAAGTTTTTGGACTCTTGAAGTGTTATTGTTGGCTTTATAACCATTACATGCAAGATGTAACACGTTCATTTTAGCCAAGTTTGATTAAGCTGCAAGATTGATCGACAAAAAGAAGGATAGTGAGGAATATAAACGTACCTATTCAAATGCACTGATCATTTTATTGCATGCGAACAAAAGTCGGTCCATGATGATATTATCCTTAAGGAATCTCAGATTTTTATCTTCCTTTTTTTGCTGCCTTTCAACTCATATAAATTTTGAGCTTTGTAATCCCTCATCCCTCAATCTTTTCTTACATTATTGTTATTGTTTACGCTCACACATCAAGAGCACGAGCATTGAACTCCCTCCGACCCACAACGAACCATCATGGACTACAGATCAATTGAGTCTTCTGAATCCTCAAGGCATTTTTCTACTCTATACATTCTCTATCATAAAATGTTTGCATATTTGTTAAACTTGTTGCATATTTCTATACATCATGATTTTATGTTTCATATTTATTGCATGTAAATATCGAAGCATAGTTGTATTATCAATGTCAAGTAGAGGGGTATAATACTAAAAACGTTACATTACATCTATTTTCTAATTACAACCCTCTAATCTATGATTTGATCAAACAAGTTTGCTTGACCAACTATTAGTAACCTAATTAATTAGTACATATAATTGTGGGTTCCATGGAGTTAAAAGTAGGAATAACAAAATATTATCTCCTAATAAGCTTTGGAACTTAATTATAAAAAACAATTTCAGGAAAAAAGAATGAAATGTTTACAAAATCCCCTACTTCCTTTCTTAAGAAACCCTAGACATGATATATATCTCCTCTCTTGTTCGTCGTCCCTATGATTTTGAGCTCATCTCAACTCTCCTCGCGATATGACTTGGAAGAAATTAATCCAATGTCTTCTTTAGTCTTCTCTATAATAAACTCATGGAAAGTACTTTTTCTTTCTCCCTTCTTCTACTAGGTATTTTGGTCACTTGCAAAGTCTTCTATTGCTAATCCTTTTTTTTTTTTTTGTGTGTGTGTGTGTTCTAGTTTCACATATAATTATACAGAGTTATGATTGTAAGAGATAATGAACATCGATCATAATACTTTTACATATTATTATCTCTAAAATTGACTTCGACAGTTCTTTATTAAAGTCAACTTTTAATCGAGTATTATATTACTGAATTGAAATTATCAATTATCTCAGCTCATCAGAATTACATTGGTATTATATAATAATATAATTTCATATAGTAGCTTATCATCTTATCTTGAAATGTTATCTAACATTAAAGCTTTATGTAATGCAGAAACAAATGTGCTGCATGCTATAGACAATTTAACAGAAAGGAACATTTGGTGGATCACATGAGGACCTCCTTTCACTCTGTTCATGAACCTATGTGTGGTGTTTGCAAAAAGCGTTGTCGATCCTTCGAATCATTAAGAGAACATCTTATTGGTAGGTTAATTTATATCTAATAATATAGTTACTATCTGTGTTTCATATTATCTGCAACATCTACTAAAAACAGTTATATCATTATCTTTCTATCTCCATTTAACACTCACGAAACAAATTTTGTCTATATAGGACCATTACCAAAGGTGGAATGCGCAAAGATCTTTAGTAGCCGAGGATGCAACATATGCTTGACCATTTTAGATAGCCCTTACACCCTCAGAATGCATCGAGGAGCATGTCAACTCTCTCGCCCAAATGTAACGACTTTTTATTAGCTTGGAAAAACAAATGTAACATATTAATAGTATTTCCATTGATAAAAACTTTGTAAATTAAAACCTATGCCCTTTTTTATACGCAGGGACTAATTTCTAGCATGGCAAACATGAAAATATGTGACAATATGAAGATTGATTATGGTCGAGAAAGAAGTCCTAACGTAGTTGCGCTTGCATGCAAAATGGTAGGAGGTGGTAATGACGGAACACTTGATATTTGTGCTAGGGTTTGCCTAACTGATGAATATGATAACATTTTGTTTCAAACATATGTTAAGCCTCATATTCCAGTGACTAACTATAGGTAACTTTAATTTTCGACATAAATTTCTCTACTGCTCCCTCCGTTTCATAATTAGAAGTCTATTTCTCTTTATGATGTGAGTAATAGATGTTTGAAATAGGGTTCTAATTATGAAACGGAGGGAGTATCTTGATTTAAACTATTTTATATGCCGACTCATTCACTTATTGTATTTCGTGTGTAGATTTGAAACCACGGGTATCAGACCGGATCACTTGAGGGATGCAATGCCATTGAAGCAGGTTCAAAGAAAAATTCAAGATTTCTTATGCAATGGAGAGCCGGTGTGGAAAATTCGATCAAGAGGAGGAAAGGCTAGGGTTCTTGTTGGCCATGGACTAGATCATGACCTTGAGTGCCTAGGAATGGAATATCCCGCATTGATGATTAGGTATGATGAACTACTTTCTCCAATCTCCATTTCTAAGTATTTGCATGATCAATTGACTATATTTGTCAATGCACTACTTTGACTTTTTTTTTTTTTTTGAGACAATTAATATCTTTACTTATGCTTTATTAAAATTATATTTTGAAAATATATATTGAGATTAGTTAATTCAATGACAATTAAAATCATGAAATTTATTATACTTTTTATACATTATCATTAGTGCTAAAATATGATCAAAGTTAGTATAAGAAGAGTATAAAAAGTCAATAAACGGAGGAAGTATATTGATAATGCATTATCACATACAAATAAATGAGTTCATAACTAATTACAGTCATTTGATGGTTTGATTTGATTGTATATAAGTACTCAATATCTCTCTTAAATCAAATTTAGATAATATTTGTTGGTTGGGAATGGTAGAATTATATTGAGGAAAGTACAAGGTTGTTACACAAGGGAGATTGTGAGGGTCCTTGGGGTTTTAAATTTCTTGCAAGGAAACTTAATTGTAGATTTGTTCTATCTAGCTAGCAAGCTAAGTAAGTGATGTATATACTATAAAATGATTTATTTTTTTTTTAAAAAAAAAAAAAAAAAAAAAAACCTTTCTCCTTCAGTAAAATAGATATACTTTCTACGTTTTTTTTTTACTTGCAATGCTTTGACTTTTACAATATTCATACTCTACTTTGACTAGCTCTAATAATTTATTGAATGATGACAATAAAAATAATAAGTACCATAAGCTTCAAAATGCATGCATATACTAATGTGGTATATTATATTTTTGGTCAACAGGGATACCTCAAAATATCCTCCTTTGATGAAAACAAGCAAGCTCAGCAATTCACTTAGATATCTAACACAAGCATATTTAGGGCAAGTACCTCTTAACTAAGTATACGGTTCTTTATATATTTTGTTAGTAAACTCGCTCTTTCATATTTACTGATAATATTTATGTTACAGTTACGAAATCCAGATGGGTGTCCAAGATCCTTATGAAGATTGTGTTGCTACAATGAAACTCTACATGAGAATGAGGTCTCAAAATCACAAGGCGGAATATTATCCATTAGCTAGTGACCCACAAAATCGTAACAACTTTGCACAATGGAGGGAAGCTGAACTTGAGAAAATGACTCCAGATGAACTATTAGCAATATCAAGGTCTGATTACTATTGCTGGTGCTTAGACTTGAAGGGATATATGTGAAGCAACAAAGTTTTTCGCCATCATTCGTGTTTTTTACAACAAGAATGAATGGAGGAGGGTATAGTGATATACTGGTATAGAGGACTAGCATATTCGTCCTATAGTAATTGACACAATTAAACTTGAAACACGTGTGAATGCACAGACATATAAAAACATGTCTAATCATATCTTTAATTAGTAGAGTTTTTGTTTTATACGTTAACCTAAGCTAGCTTAGCTTTTATATTTGGCTAATTAATTAACTAAATAATTTGTAGGGTATAATGGACCTACATGGCATTGCTGTCTACCAATGGGATGCCATAACGCCTACCTTAACAGCCAATAGTGTTTTTCCATGTGGCATTGACAATGCATGTCCACGTGGAATCGACATTTAATTTATGCACTTACGTCTTATACATACTTTGATTATTATTTAATTTAACTTCGATCTTTATGTTATGGAAGTTCCAATCTTTTGGCCCGACCTGCCCCTTCCCATGGGAGAATTTAGCCTTGATGTTGTTCTTGTCTTTAAAACAAAAATTAAATGTGCCGACTTATTATGAAATAATGTAACAACTCACATACGTAATCTGTAATACTTTTCTTGTTTTGCAATTGATGCATTTTTTACAGTAGACATACACACTATAACAAAGATAGTGTAAAAAGTTTTAATATTACGCATAATCAATCATGTTCTGACCTTTAACCATAACATGTAAAGTAAAAGGTAGAGTTGGCCCCACTTAAATTGAGGACAACATAGTAATTTTACATGTAAAATTTAACTAAAATAAATTCATCCATTGTGAATCATTCTTGGAAAAAAAAATGTATCAATTGAAAAATAGAAGTATACTTTATATTTTACTTGACATATTAGCTTTATAGGTTTACAATGAAACCATAATGTAACATAAAATTTTATATTTGGTGTCCCATCAACATAATGTGGTAATAAAAAGTTTAGTTATCAAAGAAGATATTCCACGAGTTATCTTGATCATTATACATCTTCAGATTGTCAAATGAGATAATTAATAAGATCACAAATGCACCAAATTAAAGTGGTAATCAATATATATCTTGTATAAAAGCTAATTAAAGCAAATTAATGAAAATAAGTCAACATGAAAGTAGCCTCAAAACCAAAACAAAGATTATCTTGTGTTTGACTATGTTCAAAAAGTGATCAATCATGCAGGTGATTTTTCAAACAAGGATGAGATTATTAATGCACTAATCAAGAAAGCAACTGTTAAATCATGAGTATTAGATTTTGGGAGGATTTGGGGGGTCAATTAAATTGCTACAATTACAAATTACACAAGTGTAATTTCAATTTCTTCATTAATGTTAAAGATGAAGATCAATTTAGGTTGGAGAGCACAAGATATGTGGGCTATAAATTGAATCCACAATTTTGTAACTTTATCATAAAAATGAGGTGTACCCATGTGTTTTAAAGCAAAGATCCTCTTAATGATGTCATAGTCTCCATCACACAACATCTTAATTTGTTGATGAATAAATATATATGGAAGAATTAATTAAGCTTGAGGGTACGTAGTCTTTGATTATATATGAATACATTGTTAAGTCATTGACATTAATTTAATTTTGAATGTTAGGAATAGGGTTTCTTCCAACCAAATTAAATATATATAGCGAAATTGACATTGATTTAGGGCCTGTTCTCATTTACAGAACTGAAATGATTAGAGCTGAACTGAACTGAACTGATTGAAGCTGAACTGAACTGAACTGAACTGAGCTGAAATGAGTATTTTATGAGAGAGGGAAATTAGGAGCTGAACTGAACTGAACTGAAGTAAATGTGAACATACCCTTAATTTCGCTAATAATGTTTGATAGACACTAATGAATGATAAATATTCGCTCAAATCAATTCATCGAATTAAGGTGGTTTGATCTGAACGTATACAAATTAATTAAAATACAAAATAGATAAATCCTTTGTACCAAATTAATCTCATTTGGTGAATTGATTCTTTCTTTTCCAAGTCATATATGCACCACAAAAAGGATAATTATAGGTAAAAGTTGATTAATCATTTAATTAAATCGGTGACATTATTATGAAAATAGGAGAATTACCAAAAGTTGAAATTAGATCTTGTTAATGATGCAAATAATACTAATAATCAATATTGCCTCCACCACCACAACAAAACATATTCTTGTTGTGTCAACTTGAAAGTTAATTAAATTACCTCGAGCAGCTACTTTGATTCCTTAAATTTTATTCGCATTTTGAAAACTTTTTATGCAAAATCCTTGATAGATTACGAATGTACTAAAAATGCCTTAATTATATTTCAACTTGCTTAATTAGTTGCTCATTACGCCATACATGATGTTTGATTTAATTTAAGTAATTAAACTAATAATACGACCCTAGCTTTATTCCTTGATTTACTGTTTAATTGACACTCGTTAACCTTTATTTAATTTATATTAAGAACATAGGACTAGCTTATCAGTACGTACTAATTACACTTTTTTTTTTAATTAATGAGGCGTTGTAATGGTTTCGATACCATGCCATCATATTATGTCTCTTAATTTAGAGCTTTAAGTATTGATTAAGGACACCATGTTTTTTTATTAAAATGAAATTAATCTTTTAATTTATTATTGTACGGATGCACCAGCATTCTGGAAAAGTAAGTTTTTACGATTAATATTTTGTACATACATTTGCATAATATTTATTGTAATTACCTTAATTTAATTAGAAAAAAAATAAGTAAAAGGAATAATGTTGCAGTATAGGTAGGTACAGTCTAATTTCATAGCTATAATTAAACCTTGTGATATATGAAAAATTAGATCAGAGACAGCAATTATCTATTTATAAGACAGTTTATGTCTAAATAAAGCACTAATTAATAAGTCAGTAAATATTGACCTTTGCATTCACTCAAGAGAAGTTTATTAAGATGTGAAACTTAAATTAATATGGACTTTTATATTAATTGTAATCTCATTAATTAATTAACATATAATGCTTGCTTGTCAATCATGATCAAGACTAGTGGATTACTCGACCAATTACCAATTGGTTTTAGGATGAATTGTACTTAGTATCTATGTTCTAAATTATAAAATTCACTCTAGTAATTTATTACTTTGTATCATAAAATAGACAGTAAGGAACATAAACCATGTACATCTATAAGCGCGTATAAAGAGGCATAGTGGATAATAATATATGGAGATGCTTTTTCAAGTCTTAAATCCTAGTCTTTTTAAAAGTAAGTTGTAGAGAACAAAGTTCAACCGTCAATGATTTCCATAATATTTCATTCCATTGTATAATATTTTTGGTACAATTAATTAAACAAGTATTCTTTTTCTTTTTCTCAATAAGTTAGCTGGTTGGTAGAGTCTAAAATGGAAAAATGCTTGCTCAGTGCTGACTTAGATTTACTAAAATTAGTTTCCAAAACAAATAAAAAAAAAAGATGGCATAAAATTACAAGTAAATATAAAAATGTGCAACCACAAAGTGTAACATCAATAATAATACTTTGTTCGGCTTCCCTTTTTCGGATTTCATCATCATTTGACTTCTGTCACCCGGACAAGAGATTAGATTATTAACAATAAATAAATAATAATTACTTAATTAATTAATTGTTAAAATGTTTAGTGGTGGGGTGTGGGAGAATCATTACACTTGATCCTTAAAAGTGATACTTAGTTTACCATTTTTATTAATTAAGCGTGTGCTTTAAGAATGTTTTTATTGCTAAAGTATATAGTTTGTTTTCCACTTAACTTTATTATTGTGGTCGCCTGTATAAAGACTAAAAAATCAAATTTTATACTCCGTAATAATTTAACTAGTTTTTAGCCGGACTATGACCAAATTATTATTTGTATGACAGTAATTATGTATAAATTTTATGACTCGATCCTATTTTTGCTTATTACAAGTACGTTGTCAAGTTTCATTTGCAATTTTTTTTTTAAAAAAATCTATGATATTTCGTATAGTTTGATGATTAAGTTTCTAATGATTAACTTTAAAGTCACGAATTTCTAATTTTATGTCCTAAACTCCATCCAACTTTCCGTCATGAATTTTCTCAACCCCTCCCCCCCCCCCCCTTTTACTTACCCCAAAGTCCCTGGTTGTTGTTGCTTCCCCCACCTCGCCGTTGGCACTTTAGGGCCAAATCATTGCCACTAGACCACCACAAATCGTTGTTACAGCCAATGCTAACCACCACAAACCTAACCCTTACGGCTTGTACCTTGCTTCCACTAACAAATGAAAAATTGGATGATGGATTGTAAGGGTGGTGGGGGTGCAATGGTGACGATGTATTGTAGGTGGCAGCTCCGCAATAGCTTGATCTTGTGGTGGCAACAACCACAGGGGGTATGACGACATGCATGTTCACATAATCACATGTGGATGCAACGGGAGAAGGAGGTGGACTACTACGGGTGTTGTGGTGGTTGTTTAGAAGGAAAGGGAGCGAGAATTGTACAAAAAAGGTTATGCAAAAAGTAGCCTAGATAATGAATCATTCTCATCTCCTTGAAAAAAAAACAAAGTTCAAGTGATATCCTTGGCAATTTTAGATAATTTCCTAAGTTTAGCAAGTGATATACTTCGTATTAGTTTGGAACAAATTATTATTTTGGGACAAAGGATGTTATTTTGCTCAATATTTTCAAAGATCATGGCTTCCAGAGCTTTCCTCGTTGTACCAGTAGCCTGTGGAGGTTCTTCCACGCTGTCCTCGTAACAACGTAACTTATGCAAGACATCTATCTGAATATGAGTGTAACCGGAAAATAGCTGCAAACAGCAAACTTGGCTGATTTTCAATATACACATCTGAAACAATAATTATATATCAGCACAAAGATCATAAGAAATAAGGCGTTGGTTACTTGATTCATGCTTTTGCAGCATTGGCAAGACTACTCTTACGTCCTGCAAAAATAACACAGCATTTTAGAGAACATATGAACAAATGGATTCAATTCCTTCTAATAGCTAACTTGTAAGCTCTAAATACTTTTGCTGCACGATAAAATTGCATCCGTTTTTTCTGTTCCTTCACTCTTTTCTACATTTACTATTCTCTAGCATCGTTCTGTATAGACTATAAACATTCACTTACAGAAACATAAAATTATTTGATTCTAAACTCACTGGCATATATGCATCATTACTAAAACTAGCATTTCGAATTCTCATAGAACGTATTTTCTTATTAATCATTGATCAATCCAGTTCCCTTCCCTATTTTCCCCCTAACGCATTAGGGTAACCACCTTGGTCTGAGTAAATAGTTGTGCTTACTACTATAGAGACATAAGGGGCAAGAGTGCTAACCTGTTACGGTTTTCTTCTTTCCGGACTTCACTCTATTTGATTTTAATTTGGACTCTTCACGAGTCTTGCTCAGAAGATTAGCATACTTTTCCAATAACTTCTCTTTGTCATCCACCAAGCCCAGCAACTCATACGCGTCTGCTACCTTCTGTACAATTGACTTCTCCGGGGGTTTACGATGAAAAGCCTCTAACCTTTTAAAGAGCTTCAAAGCAGAGGATTATTCATTAGCTCATCATGATAAAACAATGAGAGCAACAGCCCTAATGAGGATCTTGCTCAGAAAAAGTGTGGGGATGAGAGCAGCATATATGTGCATTTATAATACTGAAACTTACATGTAACGAATTATTTTGGGTCGCTACAGATGTTAAGAACCTCTATTAAACAAAATGATAGGGTTTAAGAAAAGAACTTCGTATAATTTTCTCCAGAAATATACGAAATATTCAACACACTTAAATTACAAGGGTGAAGTGGATTTAATTTTCATTTTTTCACATCAACCTTTCTGAGATGCTGTTTTCGCAACACCACAACCATTATCATGATCATGGTCTGTAACAGCAACTTTATTTTTTTTACAGATAATGGTAAATCCAAATAATTGCCTGCAGGAGCCTGGTGGTTCAGCAGTGCTTATGCAACTTTTTGGCTACTTTACTATTTGTGATCTCTGTGGATATTGATGGAATATTTAAAAGTCTAATGAAAATGGATCTTGCCCCGGAAGATCAAGCAACCTAGGCATTGGCATTCCAGTATAAATCTCTTTCAAACTTAGGGATATTTCTCTACGCCAATTCTTATGATCAGTAAATTTCAGTTAACGAAACAGACTTAAGGTGTGGCCATTAACTGATGTACGGAGCAATGTGTGCACATCATGGTTTAAAATATCTTTAGATAAAAATGCAATTTCCAGGTAGGCAGCCTGATTTACATTGAGTTTGTATCATACAGTATTCAGACTATAACATGAGTTGACCATACCACACTATAACTGGTGGAAACTGACAAGAAACACTCAACAACACTAACTGGTAAGGTGGTAACTTCCTTCAAGGTCAGACATAATCCATGCAAGTGAGACAACCCTAACTTTACAAAGCAAGTAATAGAGGGCACCAGGAATTAAATATCATGATACAGCAAAATTATCAGCTGATCAGTATTTGAATGTAGATGGAAAGCTTCCAGGCATTTGAATGGCTAGCTTGGAGATAGATGAATACTTTTGCAAATTTTCAAACTTTAGAACATCAATTGTGCAGTGATAGATGAAACACGTTCATCACATTCACATATTAATACACAAAGGGGGAGTAAGAGAAGAAAAAGTACCTTGACAAGACGCTCGAACATATTGTTTCGATGATAAATTGAAATCATGAGATGGCATGCTGGCCAAGGCACGGAATGAAGATTATTACCTATCTTCTTCATCCAGATATTATGAGCTTCCTCAGCCCTGTGGTCCATATCCAAAGCCCGTATCAGCTGCTGGTATGTTCCCACTGTGTTGCCTTGCCCTTTGCTTAACATCCATTTTAAAACCTTAAGAGTAGCACAAACAAGCCTAGTGAGCTTCTGGAGCAACAGACTGTTAATATAGAAACAAAGCCAACACTGCTAAATGCCAACACACAAGCCTTAAAACTGTCTCAGACTCACAAGACATACTAGCTAGCTAACCATATAAACAGCAAACAGGTATTTGCAGTGAAATAAACAGAAGAAACTTCATCTTTCAATATTTCTAACATTGTATCAAGCTAGATACTTTGTATGACACAATGAAGCAGAGAGAAAGGATGTATTTAAGGCATGGTATGCATATACTTTGTACTAGTATATATTATATGCATATATGGTTCTTCTAAACCTAGTATGAAACCCACCGAATTCTTTCCAAATGGCTGACAGGACACCGGCTTTTATTGTCCGGTTTCATATACTACTATATTCTTCCAATTTCTCCTCATATTCACCTAGAACAAGCACACCAACCAAAATACAAGTAATAGCAATACCTGTACAACTCTATGCCATTGTTGCTCCTTTTGTAGAACCAGTAACACGTTTTTAAGTGCAGCAATTGGAAAGTTCTGCTCCCATGCTACCCAAGCATCAAGTGTGCCATAGATTGCATCTTTACTGTCTTCCAGATCAAAAAGCTGCAAGCACAACCATATTCAGCTAATGTAGATATAAAACAGATTATTGGTCAAATATCAACCCTACCCTTTAGCATTTAAAGTTGTACAAGTAGTAAAAAAAAATAAATAATTAAAAAAAACAAAATCAAAACATAACATTAATAAAATTACAGCCAAGTAAGGGGAGAAAATCAGATAAAGGTCAGAACGGTATACTATAATTCTATAAGGCTAAAGCCTTTGCATATATGTGATAAAATCCCAATACAAGAGCCTTAGTAAAAGATATTAGAACCTTGCAGCTGATGAGATGATAAAAGTATTGTCATATAGAGTTCTTCATAGGCTGTTCACTAGACATCTAGACATGTGGCTCAACTTGAACCTAACACTAGCAACTACCAGTAGAGCATAGATACAATGAGAAGAGATAGGGTTAGAAAACTAATTGCTAAGACTTGTTTCAACACAGGCACAAAGGAAATAATTGCAGAGTAAACTAATTTTTATCAGGAAGACATTTGACCGACAATCCCTGTCCTTGTCTTCCTAAGGTAAAACCCTATCTAAACAATAGTTGTTTACATCATATAAGGGTAAATTAAGTTGGTTTTTTATGGCTAAACAATATTCTCAATGGAAGCTGTTTGTCACACACGTGACATGTTGCTTTATTGTGTACCTAGCCGATTTTGGCTGTGCCATTGACAATGTAAAGGAACTCACTCTAAAAGTGTATAACTTTACAGAGAAGGCTGGAAGAGAAGGATTTTAGAAGGTTATTTTTACATTAGAAGACAAATAAAAATGATAAGTAACAATGGAGAAAACATCCAGCCCATAGGAACTCCCTTAACATCACTCAAACTCAAGTACTCAACTACTAGTGTCGCCACATGTGTATGGTCCAAGTTTCAATCTCAGACTTCTCATAAAACTTACATTTTTTGGCCCCAAACTCCAATATGAAGGGTAGAGTTTCCATTATAAATAGTATAATGTCCAGGTATCAACTATTAAACAAAAGTACTGAATGTGAAATGGAGAGTTTAAGCAACATTATCTCTTTGGTATAAAAGACCAAACAAACAAATTTGAGAAATTAGTGCAGACTAAAATCTTTTTTCAAAATGCTCCACTAATCTCAAGTTAAAGCACCACGCAAGCAATTTAGCTTGTTACACTCTTAAGCAAGCAGATAAGTAGACCCATACTTATTGAAGTTAAGAGCTAATTTTCTTATCATGCATTCATGCATCAAGATTCAGGAACCATATTTATAGTGGACATCACTTTCTGCACTTGCTAAGCATGATAATGTCATAGTCATAACGCATTTGCATTCAGATTTCAAGACTAAAGTATGTTGGGTATTATTAGAAGATGAGAGAAAACAATGGACAAATTACTTGAGAATAAAGGACCATCAAAATCGAATGAAGCCATTCCATAATAAAAAGGTAGAAATATAAAGGGAGTTATGAGCTCTACTGTCAACAAAAACAAAAATAGCCAGATCACTAATAGGTTTATTTTCAGTAGTGGTTAAAGGACACAACTATAGTCCAGCCAACCCGAGCTCATAGCTCACAAACACAATGAGAATAATAACTAAGAAACATAGAAATCTAAAAAGAAAACCAAAGTTACAACTTATTTTAACATATAATGTTGTTTTGAACCATATAAGACCATTAGTCAATCGCATAAAGGCACGGGGTAGCTAATAAAAGGAGGCATACACAAATTCATCCATAGTGATTGTTTAAAGACAAATAAGACGGTTCCAACCACTCAAAAGGGCCTCCTAGGGTGTTATGGGTCCATAGGAAACACCTCGACCTCTTTTCTTTACGGGTCCAAAAAAGTAATAAATGACCAAAATTGAAGACTATAATCCATGCTTTTGGACCAAATTTCGAGGTTTCGAGACCCAATGTTGAAAAATCTCAGGATTATAGGAGATGCATCTCGAGGTCATATAATGTTGGTTGGAACCATATATGACCTCTAGTCAGTCGTATAAAGGCCCATGGTGACCTTGGATTAATCGAGGGAGGCAAGTACGAAAATGGCTAAATAGATGGTTTAAAGGCAAAGTGGATGGTTCTAAGTTCTAACCACCCAAATGGTGGGATTCATGGGAAGAACTTCGACCACTTTTCTTTCTAGGCCCGGAAAAGTCCAAAATTGTCCATAACAAAAGCTATATAGTACATGAAATCAAAATAATTTCAAAGGTTTCGGGATCAAGTGTCGAAAAATCTTGAGATTGTATTCCGGGGTCATGTAATGTTGTTTGGAACCATATGACTACTAGTTGGTCATATAAAGTCCATTGGTGGCCTTTAGTTAATGAAGGGAGGTGAAAGTTTTAAATGGGTAAATTGGTTGAATAAAAGCAAAGTGGACAATTACAAACTTCCAACCACCAAATATCCATTGACCCCTAACTGTCTAAAAAGAGGGAGAAAGGCCTAAGCCTCCATCAGAATAAATAGGATTTAACTCCTTTTTCCATTTATTAAACCGATTTAAAACATTTTGAATACGTTGAAAGAGCATCTGCAAAATGAGTTACTAATGGGAAAGAGGAATATATAAAGCTTATCAGAATAAGGAGAATATTTGCTGCAACTTCTAAGGATCTGATCTGAGTTCCCGCAAAATCCAGTCTCCTAAAATTCAACCAGATCTCAAAAAATCAAAAGGAAATGTAAATCAAACTCAGCCTAGTCCTAGTTTATTTTGCCTACAATGTGATCAAGTCTAATAGAATAATTAGCATTACCACAATCTCAGTGCACTTTAATAGAAAACAATATGACCACAGAACCAACTCTATTTACAGATTATAGCAACAACATTGCATTCTCAATTTCTCATGCAGCAACAGTTCCAGATTTTCAAAAACTATGTGACTAATGTGAGCCTGTTGAGCACAGGGTTATCACTTTACATTCAATTTTTAATTTCAAGTCTTCAATCGAGTTATCAGGAGATAACTAATTGTGAAGATGTTGATCCCAAAACATTCATCAATAAAGAAGGTATAACTCCCATTCGAAGTTTTCTTTCTGACGCTAATAGAATAGGGAGACTCCAGCTTCTACTGTTACTTATGTTTTCTCATTTACATCTTTTTTCTTCAACAAATGGAGATCGCATTTCTCTTGCCAACCAAAAATATGCTTATTGGATTCAATATTTGAGTGAGTAGAAATCTATCAATAAATTTCCAACAGAAAACAGCCAATGGCACTGAGCACCATCTTAGACAAACTAATTTTCAGATTTGTATGAATATATTAATCATCATGTATCAAACAAGCCTACTTTTATGATGCAATAACATGTCACAATTGAGAAATAAAGCCCCTTCTAAACAATACAGATATATACAGGAAAGCGTGCACAACTCAAGAGAGTTTTACAAGTGCAATTGGGAATTTTACGTCTTACCAAGAGCTACAACAAGCTATAGTGGCCTCCCTTACATCCCTACACAAGCATGCCAAACAGCCTACATGGGCTGATTTACAGCTAACCTTTAGATATTGGAAACGAATCACATACCGGTAGATAATTACGTCACATCCAAAAAATTCATCGGCACACAGGTTGAGAGACATGAAGATAGAATTATCAAGTTTACTAATTTCTTTAGTTGAGAAAATGAGGTAGATAGTTGACTTTTAACAATCCAGTTGAATCTATCAACATGAAGTGACTAAGGTACAAGATTTGGCCAATAGGGAATTTCAAATAACTACAGTCACTAAAAGTGATGATGAATTTCAGGCTATGTATCAAGGAAGGTATGAGCAAGAATCTCATTTGAGAATCAAACAAGAAGAAATAAGCAATTCTAATTAGAGCTGTCAATTTAGGTAAACGGGTCGGGTTTGGGTCGGATAAGAGTGGGTCGGGTCAACTCGAGTTGGGTCAATTCAGATTAATTTCATAACCTATGCGGGTAGGATTTGGGTTGGGTCATGCCTGAGTCGGGTCACGTTGGGTCATACTTCTTGTCGGGTTTAGGTAGGGTTAATAACAGGTCGGGTGAACAATAGGTCGGGTTTAATTCGAGTTAAAACGGGTTAGGGTAATTCTCGGGTTCAAGTCGGGTTCGATTCAAGTCAATAATTTGCGGGTTAGAATCAGGTCGGGTCAATCTCGGGTTTGAGTCGAGTTCGGTTCAAGTCAATAATTTCGGATTATAATCAGGTCGGGTCACTTTCAAGTAGGGTCATTCTCGGGTTCAAGTGGGGTTCGGTTCAAATCAATAATTTGCGGGTTATAATCAGGTTGGGTCATTTCCAAGTCCGGTTATTCTCGTATTCAAGTCGGGTTATGTTCAAGTCAATAATTTGCAGGTTACAATTAGGTCGGGTCATTCCCAAGTCAGGTCATATTCGGGACAACTAACTATAAATAGATAATTATCATTTTTATCAAGCTAATTATTTCCTTTGAATATATTATATATGGCAATATACTAGGGAGCTCAAGTCTATAATTTAGGAAGATAATAATCTCCTTTGACCATACAACAAATATATACTATATTTAACTCTTAAATTTGAGGATGGTCTCCCAAGACAAAATGCTTTGATCAACAATAATAAGATGATCTAAATTGTATTTAAGGTGATTTGAAATCGAGTCAGGAACAATTTGGGTTAAATTTAGGTCGGGTCAATAACAAGTCGTGTTAATTTCAAGTCGGGTTAGTAATAGATCGGGTTGAATTTTTGGGTTGGGTAAGTCATAGGTATGGTAAAATTCGGGTCGGGTTAATAACAAGTCGGGTTGAGTTAAGGTCAGGTTAATAACAAGTCGGGTTGATTTAAATTCGGGTCGGGATAGGAACGGGTCGAGTTGAATTCATGTCAGGTTAGTAACAAGTCGAGTTAAATTCGGGTTTTGACGGGTTAAAACGAGTTTGGGTCAAATTCGGTTCAAGTCGGGTTCGGTGCAATTTAATTAAATTGGCCGTTGTAAACCGATAAATCGGT